GGAGCTGAAGAATATAATAATGGAGCTGCAGATTCAAGAAGAGCAGAACATACCAAATAATATGATCCCAAAGGTATCCCCACTGACAAACATTATAATCTTTATTTTCTTTAATGAAAGATAACACGTGCTTATGATTGTGCAGTTTTCTTATTGTGCTTTCCACTTGCTATTGTGTGGGAACCAAAAATATGTATGCATTTGTATACATGAATACATTTTTGCATGTATTTTGTTTTACTGTCTTTGTATCTTTTACTCCAAGGTAGCCGTGCTTCTACTGATATAATTACCTTAAAAATTGGGGGGCATTTCTTATGAATATTATTGAGGTTTATTTCATTTGTAAAAACCACACACTTAAATTTCTTTGAGTTTCTCTACCTGGATCTTCTGTTGAGATGCCTAAGAGACAATGCTCTAAATCTTCTTATAAGTCCTGTTGTTTGAACAAGACAATCTGTTACGTATATATACCCTTTATAGATCCTTTGTCTGACTGAATTGAGGCACAGTCTTTGCTCTTTCTGTGATTTTAACCGGGGATTTTACAGTCAAATCCATAGCTTCTTCCATTAACATAGTAATATAAGTAGTAGGAAGAAACCAGGCAGTTCAACACTCTGACTGGAAATAACTTCAGATATTTCTCCCAATTCATTAAGTACATTTTCTACTTTCTACAATACTGCAGACAATAGTGTCACTAAATATGCAGGCACTAAATAGAAAAATTTCTACTTGCTCCAGTTTGTAATAATGTGTTTTTACTTTCCTGTAAGCCCTCACTAGAAGTTTTCAGTCTTTTCAATCTTTCTAGCTTCTATGCACTACCAACTTTAAAGCACTCCCAAAATATAGTTTTATGTTTGTTTGTTTGTTTGTTTTTTCTCTTATGACAATACCACCCTCCTTGGGTACCACAATATGTATTAGTTATCTATTGCTATGTAACACATTACTCCAACACTCAGCAGCTTAAAAGAGCAAATCATTACTATATCACACTGTTTCTGAGGGTTAGTAATCCTTGAACAGTTCAGAAGGATGAACCTGGCTCAGAATGTCTCATGAGGTTACCTTCAAGATGTTGGCTGGGGCTGTAGTCATCTGAAGGGCCAAAGAGTATGCTTGCAAAGAAGGCTTACTATATGGCTATTAAAAATAGACTTCAGTTCCTTGCTGACTGTCCGTAAGAGGCTTCAGTTCCTAGCCACATAGTCCTTTCAACAGGACTGCTCATGATACTCTAATAGGTTTCCCCCGATCAAGTGATCTGGGAGACAGAAAGGTCATATCTCTTATGACCTATCCTCAAAAGTGACATACCATGATTTACATTGTATCCAATGGTCACACACATCAGCCTCAAACAATGTAGAAGGAAATTACACAAAGGCATGTACACCAGAAGGTGGGAATCATTGGTGGACATCTTATAGGTTAGCCATAACACATCCTGTATTGATTTTTACCTTTTAGAATGAACACAGACTGATAAAAGGCATAATTGTTTTTATACAGTGAAATTTATAAGTACATTTACAACTGGTAAGATGCCATCTGGAAAAGGATTAGGCAAAGTTGAGAGTACGGTTGATGCCTTTATATTTTTATCTTATACACTTGGAAAGGGTTTGGCAAACTATGGCCTGTGGACCAAATCTGTGCCACCATATGTCTTTGCAAATAAAATTATTTTGTAACATATTCAAACCATTCATTTATGTATTATTTATATCTTCTTTAGTACTACAGTAGCAAGATTGAGTAGATTCAAAATATACACTTGGAAAGGGTTTGGCAAACTATGGCCTGTGGACCAAATCTGTGCCACCATATGTTTTTGCAAATAAAATTATTTTGTAACATAGTCAAACCATTCATTTATGTATTATTTATATCTTCTTTAGTACTACAGTGGCAAGATTGAGTAGATTCAAAGGAGACTGGCCCACAAAGTTGAAAATGTCCAGATTTTTAGAGAAAGTTTTCCAACCCTGCACTAGAATATAAAGGAAAAAGGTTCAATTGGTCCAAAATTATGAAAATTAAAACCAGTGCTTAAAAATTATAAGGGTTAAATGAGCATAATTTTGTAAAGCTTTTAATAAGGGCAAAGAATATTATACAGCATAAGAAAGAGAAATCAAATAAGCAGTGAGAGACCAAGAGACATCTGGGAACAAGCACTCCAAATGTTTTTATTTGCACAAAGACATGCTTCATCTTCAGATAAAACTGCTGAAATTTGTGTGATAAAATTTAGTTTCAGGAGAGCTAAGGCTGAATTTTTCTACAGTCTTTTTTATTATTTTTATCCCCAGATAATATATCAGAAATTTCATATCAGACAGAAAAAAATTATAGAAAGTGCTATATATAAAAGAAGTATTTTCCCATTCCAAAGACTAAAAAGATATTTTCAGGATGAAGAAAAGCAGAATGCAGGCAAGAAGTGAGAGGAAGAGAAATAGCAGTGAAACAGGTCCGACGGCCTGGATCGAGTGGGACTAAAATGATGGAAGCATGTCGTGAGAAGGACACTGCCTAGGGTAACCAGCGTCCTCCATCCAAGCTAGAACTTTCCATCAAAATGCCCTGAAATGACATGGGAGCTGAAAAATAACATCTGAGTTATAATTGGGAAACAACAGGAATTTTATTTTCCCAGTTGGGGACAATTGTTGGCGTAGATGACTCTGAAATTAGACATTATCTATCATATTTAAAACTTTCTGTTTTTTTCATTATTCTGGGAACTGTAATAAATGTTCATGAGTTCTCAGAAAAAAGGAAGATTGGGCTTTGGCACCTGATAAGGTGATGATATGAAAAGCAACAACTGGAACCTGTATTTGGATGAGGCTAAATGGAAACAGCTGAGATTTCTCCTGAACAAAAATGAAGAAAATAGACCAACTACAGAGAAAACCACACTAAACATCAAAACCCAAACAGAAGAAATTGCCTTATGGGAGGTGGACAGGGAGATGGGATAGTTGGTACTGAAAACTACTGATTTTCATTATAAGCTTGTCTACACTATTTTTAAAATTTTAATTAAAGATATATTATTTTGTAATTATGTGGATAGCAAAACCAAAACATTTCGAATCTCCCTCGTTAAACATTTCAAAGACATTATATTCTATTTTATATTTTTCATCATGTAACTTAAGTGCATTTTTCCAAAGTCTATCTTCATACAAAATGTGAAGAGTTTAGTTAGTAGTCCTATCATATTTATATTTTGAGAAATAAAATTTAGGAGGTTCTTTCTTCTTCCTGGCTTTTTGTATATTGAAAATAAACTTTGTGCTCCTCAATATTTTTCATTTACTGAAAATACAAAATTATAGAGCAAATAGAGATGTCAATACAAATTTCTTAATACCCACAGGGCTCTTCAAAAAGTTCATGGAAACTTCACGTTATCTTTTAGTTCTATTTTTCCATGAACTTTTTGAGGTATCTGTATCCTCGTATATGCAACAGTTATAAAAGGGAATTGCTTTTTATAGCTGTGAGGTCAGGAGAATCCCACCCAAATCACAGGGATTGGACCTCACTGTTGCCCCATCCCTTTGTTGACACACTCAGAAACCCCTCAGTAACATGGGTGGACCCCTCCCCTCCAAAAAAGGGAATTGTTTAGTATTAGACACATGTCTTTTAGGGAAGGGAATAAGTCCTTCAGTGTACATGTAAGTGACTCTTTTACTGGCAGATAAGCCTAAGGGAGTAAAGAAGTAAGTATTATAAATTCATGTGACCAGGGCTGGGATTCCCTTTACTCTTGCAAAATCCAGGCACAATCGCAAGGGAACCAATATTTGGCCAAAGACTTCCAATTGTTCCACATAACTCAAAAGCATCAAGAGAAGACAGACAGATGTATCCTCCTTTGAAGCAGGATAATACATATGAGTGTCGGGTCTGCCGCCGGCTGACCCGAACAGCCCTAGCCTCATTCCTTTTGGTGGGCGAGCGAATGGCCCAGGATTCCTCTTTCCCTCCAGTCCCCTTTGGAAGGATATAGGGGAAGAGAGCCGTGAAGAGAGGTGAGCACAGCCGCCAGCCCCAAAAACAGCCCGGTTAAAGGACACTCAGACTTGGCGGGGGTTCTGTTGAGGCAGTTCCGTTTATTACCATGCAAGCACTTGCTTTTAAAGGCAAGTAGGGAAGGGAGGTTTTTTACATAATCTTATCAGCTTAAAGGTCAAGAGAGCATGCATCTTGTCTCAATGCCTAGCTATTGCAACCTCGAGCGTGGAAGTGCGTATTTGGCCAATAATGGCTTAGGCAAGGTTCCTGCAGACACCCCCACCCTACTTCCTCCCGGTGCCGTCTTAGGCTGCCACGTTAATACACCCCTGTGGGCCCATAATGGCGCCACTTGTAATGTCACTTAAGGTGGTGTTAGTTTTTAAGGCCCGACATATGAGGATACTGTCATATAACACTTTCAGCTCTAAATTAAAACATATGGAAATATCGATATGCAAAAAGAATTAATAAAAAATACTGAAATTATTTTTACTTTCAGAAAAGTGAGATGAGACTGGAATTTCTCAATTTAGTACACCACACAAAGGACTGAAATGATGTTAATGTATGTGTGTGTGTGTATATATATATGTATTTATAATTTGATGTGAATTAAATTTTATTTAAATTTGTACAGAGAGTACACTATATAAATAAAACTAAATTGAATTTAATATGAGATATATGCATTAAATCAAAATATTTATAAAATTCTTTATCTTGATGCTTTATAATTTCAGGTGTATGTGTACAAATTCCATCTATTTTAAAACACATGGTTTCAAACACATGGAAATTGTATAATAAGACACAGTTTGAAACATTTAACAGACCCAAGAAGTAGATAGTTAGTAATAATATAAGAGGTACAGGTAATATTCTTAGTAATCCTAGACATTTATTCTCACCCCTTCTGTCCTAAGAAACACTTTAAGAAGCTATTGCTTACATTACAGTTGTAATGATTTTTGCTTACAAATGTAATAACTTCTGCTTCCACAGGGTCCATCCCAAACATTATTGCTTGGACTATACTGTATGCAGTTTTCTGGATTTAAAGTTTGAGGTGATAAAAATCTGTAATGAATAAGAAAATGTTAACATATGCAAAAAGTCCAGGGATAATTTTTTTTTATTAAATGATAGAAATTTTAAAAACCTTCAAATGAAATATTAACATATCGAGTCATTTTTTTTTCTTTCAATCACCACAGTTTTCACAATTTTAGAGTGCAGTGCTGCAAAACACTCATTTACTCCTTCAATTATCAGTAGCACTGAGGCCACAGTTTTTTTTGGTTTTTGCTGTTGTCATTAATGGTTGTGATGTATGATGTGCTTTACTTGTATTTTGCTTAAGGTGAATTGGCTGGTCTAGTCTAGGAAACAAACCAGAGCATCAACTTTCTCATTGTATGATGCTGCAAATCACATCCTTATGAATTAAAATGAGATTCAAAAATGACAAAAATACATACAGAAAATAAGCCCAGAGTATTTGAAACCTGGAAGGATGCTGAGAATGTTAGACTCCACCAGAATACAGAAAATAGTGGATATACCATTTTCTCTGGATTGTCTCTGAGTATGTGAGCATCTGTAAACACACATATATATCTCCATGTGCTTATACTAAGGCAAAAAAACTGTATATATCAAAAGTTCTTTAATGGCCACAAGTACACTTTCATGTCACTTAGGCATAAACATCTAGGTGGAGCTAAAATTATTATTCTGCTGTTCCTATACTGTTTTCTGTATTCTTGTGCCCTTGACAGATTATTTTAGCTACAGTGCTCCTAAATGTTACCTTCACTAGTCAGACCTGAGAATAAATTCACAAAGAGCAAACAAACAAACAAACAAACAAACAAAAACTTACAGATCCAGGGAGGGAGCTGAGCCATCCTCCCACAACCAAGCTTTGTATTCTTTACTATAAGAGAGTCCAATCCAATAAAAGTTTTGACTGGAGTTCATGAAAAACTGCTTGGAAACAGAAACAATCACATTAACATAATTTGAATCTACTCTGGGAATAAGAAAGTGGTCAGAATAAGATTCAGCCTGTCCACCACACAAACTGAAATTATTTTTAACTTCTAATTTAGAAGGTTATAATCACATGCCTCAAGTTTCTCATTTATCAGGCCTGTTTATTCATGGAGAGAAAAAATACCACAAAGTCCCACTTCTCGCAGGAATTAAACATTATTAAAGTAGTTAGAGTTTTCATGGAACACAGCCTTTGATCGATGATAAAGTGTGATCCCAAATTACGGTATCCTACACAATAAACCCATGGGTAGAACCTGCTCAGCCTATACAAAGCACAGGTTCTGCATGTGGCTGGAGAATTTGTTCATTTTTTTCTTAAGAACTCAATAACTTTTATGATCATACTCTTCATGCTGGTTTCATACCATATCCCAGAAAGATGACAAAAACTATTACAAAAGACATTATAAATTCCATTAAAAGAACTAAAAATTACAGTCACTTCGTTGGTTCTTTGAATATAATAGGTAGAAATAATAACTTATTATTTCTTCTTTGAATTCTCCCTAAAAAGTTTCTTGCACTTTATCTGGCATCTATCTTGATTTTTATCCCTAGTGTAAATCTTTGAGGAATGTTATATAGGTTTTACAATGATTGTTTCTAGGTACATAAAATTGATAGGTCATTAGTTCAAATATAACCACCCATTTACTATCTGATTAAAGACTTGAATCAAAGTATTCGGCTTACTTAGATCATATATTTTTCTAGGTCAAAGAAAATGCAGGAAACCAGAATTAAATACATGCCAGTTCATTTCTTTTTTGAAGCTGAAGTAGACTGGAATTCTGAGAAGCACAGAAATGCCTACTTTCTTCCCAAGTTTTTATTTCACTAGAAATGAAGTAACAGTTGCATTGGTACCCAATCCACTTTTCTTGGCAAGAACAGCAGTCAGAACCTAAAAGAAAAAATAAAACATGTCCAGAGGATATTAATGTGAACAAATTAGACATGATTTTTTTTCTTCATGGAGATTATATTTTAGAGATAGATACAGAATTATATAGTTTCCAATCATTTATTGATTATATTTAATAATAACTTATACAAGTATACAAAAGAGACTCAGAATGTTAAAACAGCATGTATCAGAGTACAGGATGGGGTGCAGTTAGAAGAACCTTTTTTTCAGAAGTGACACAAAGCTGAGCACTATACTGTAAATAAAAGTTAACTAGATGAAGGAAAGATTTAAAGAAGGAAACCACTTTAGTGTATTTTCTGAATATGAAAATAATATGGTACATTGGGACAATTCTGATATTTTATTTTTCAAGAAGGAAGATAAATAAGCCAATTAGTTTGAAGTCCAGTCTTATAGATTATTATGATAGTGTCTTCACTATTATCCTCTGTAATAAAAGTTATGACACAGTAGGTACTCAAGTCTTTGTCAAATGAAAGGTGCTGAAGTTGTTGAGATGACAGATAAATGAAATGCTGTATGATCACAGAAGATAGCGAGACGACTTGAGAAGTATTTAGAAAAGAATACAGCAAAAAGACTGGACTTTGAGTTGGCTTTCCCTGGATAAGTAATGTGTAGAATTGCAGAAATCTGCTCTGTATTCTGAATCATAGAAAAAGCAGAAAGAAGAAAAGGCGAAGAGGTAGGAAAGTACAGGTTATAAGCAAACACAGGAGGGTAATTTGGATTAGTTATAATATGTACTAGAGTTTTGTTGTTGTTGTTGTCATTGCTTAATCATGAGCCCTCAGGAAAAATATCACAGAACAATTAAATGAGACTCCTACAATTAGCAGGAAAACTTGTATTACTAAGTGTAAGAGTCCATCTTGCTCCAGTGTGTGAAAAACAAGAAATTGTCTACTTAATCCTTTACCAATATTAAGGTTTTCCAAAGTATGGAACCTACCATTTTGGAGTTGTGTGATGGGTTCTGGAGAGGATGTTGACTGAAAACTTGCTGGAGTCAATACTACAAGAAATGATTAGAAATTTCCTTACTAAGGTAAGTGTTTGTGAAATAATAAAACATTACACATCAGTAAAATGAACCTTTATCATTAAATGATTTCATCACAGTTTTGATCTTTATGTAGACTTGCCCAGAAAAACTTACAATTTTTCAACAAAATTCCCAAGGTAGCCATCAACGAAAGGCATATTATTCCCAAGGTCCCAGAAATCAACTTCCACACAGTGGTCCGAGAAGCTGCAGAGAAACAGGTATAGGATGGTGACTTCAAGAACGAGCGTAGGAGCTGAAGTTCTTAAAAGAAGAAACCAGTGGGAGAGAATACAAATAAGTCTTTCATTTCATAATATAGTCATCTTGCCAATGGAACACTAGAAAACGAACACATTCCATTCAGAACTGCACCCAATATGCAACATTTCAATGTGTTATACCTTATTCTTCAGTGGGATTATCCATGCATTTTCTTCTCTACCAACTCGGTCTCAGTAAAGTGGATTTACCATTTAGTTTTTAAATTGGCAGAGAAACTTAGAGATCTGGAGTGAGAAGAGAGCAACAGGAACCAAGCTGTGCTGCGTGGGCTTACATAACAGACATTTACTTTTATTATCTTAATAAAAGCACAAAATAGATAGAATGATTACCATTAAGTAGATGAGAAAGGTTAGGATCCAATATAATGTTATTTTCTCAAAATATCAAAGCTAATAAGTATCCATGTCAGAAATCAAATGAAAGTTTGTCCAGGTCGAGAGTCTTTCATTTAACATATTCTATCACTGTCACAATACTACTACTTGGGAGTGTGCCCCCTCCAAATCTCAGTGCAGGTTCTGCTCTGACAGACGTCTAGCTCTTCGTAGGTTTGCAGCCGTATTATAGGGAAAAGAAGGCATAGGTGCATTCTGGACCTGGTGTGGTAGGAGCTTCCACAAACACGTGTGGTTAATACCTCGGGGATCTGGTTTCATTTCACAGCACATTGAATTATGATACATAACGGATCTTGTTTTATACAAGAACAGTACATTTGCTCATACTCAAAATTGCTTGCTTGTAGACTTTTTCCCTAAAACATTTTTTTTTTTTGCTGAGGTTTCATAACCATCTTTTTATTCATTTATTCATTCATTCATTTACTTAACAAGCAATTGCTAAGTGTTGATTTTAGTATACGTGCTTAGCCAAAGTTTGCTATACCAGCAATATCACTTATTCACAAGACAAATATATATTCATCAATAGTAAATGGTTATATCTGGAGGTTTACCAATAATTCCTGAATCTTAGCAGCTTGTATGCACTAGGAACTACATATAACACTAAAATATAAAATAGTCAACTGGTTGTCTCCATTAAAATAACCAACTACTTAACAGATTTTTTTTCAAGAATCAACTAATTTTTTTATTTCAATTTATCAATAAACCTGCATATTAATATATTCTACATTAACATTAGCGCAATCTCAAAGTGTGATGTCATTAACAACAGTACAATGTGTCAAAATGTTAATCTGTGTCAGTTTTGGATATGACAATGCAAACAGTAGATTAAGAAAAAATTAAGCATTCTGTCATTAATATTTGGCATTCTTTCTTTATTTCCATGCTAGAATTACATTGCTCAAAATTTAACCAGGTAAGTTCATTCTTGTTCAGAATTTAAAGGTATTCCTGTCAGAAACCACTTTTTAAACCTTTTGGAAAAGCTTCATTAAATAAAGTCTAAATTACAGAATGAAGAATTAGGAAAATGAAATAAATGTAGAAAGGGCTGATACACACACAGTCTAAAGATATCCACTGTTAATCACATCTTTTTATTAAAAAAAGGACTGCCCTGAAATTATCCAATCCATGAGATACCATTTCTGGCTATTTTTTATTTTTTAATTTTACGACTGGGGTCGCACATACCTGCCATGAGAAATGATGTTCCAAGGTCAGTGCAGAGAAGGAACAAAGTGTGCTTGTTCAGGAGAAAAGGTGTTGGATCATGGAGCTGAGCTAGAGGCTGAGGAATGCAAATGTTGAGCATGAAAAAAATTTAAAATAAAAAGAGAAAGAAAAATTGTGTATTTAAATCATGTTCTTGAATCATCTATCGGTTAGACATGTATGTATAGGATGAATAAGCAGCAGCAAAATCACATGCTTCTAAAATGTTCCAGGAACCACAGTACAGGAAATCCTCACTGTACTTTTGTAGTGCAAATGCCTTGACCAGCACAAAGGAGGGTGAGGGAGTTTTTTGAAAAACATTTGAACAACAAATTCATCTTAAAATGTTATTTGGAAAACAGAGAAAAAAATGAGCAAACCAAAGGTAAGTTTACCTAGTGTCATAAATTCCACACAGAATTTTCCTCCTCTAATAACAAACATTTATTATTTACCTTCTTCAAAATAGTTTAAAGCATTTGATATATGTTAGCTTATTTATTTCTGAAAATAACGTCAAAATGAAGATACATAAACATGTTCTTTTTACATATGAGAAGGTGAAGACATAGTACAGCTAAGTAACCGGCCTGTGGTAATGTAAGGTTGAAACCCAGGCAGGCTTTCTCCAGAACGCGACTGCAATTTATTTCAAACCAAGCCCATGTCTCTGTGACTATATGTTCTGTAGATTTTTATTTCTTTTCTTTAGCATCGAGTGGTCGGCATTTCTGTGTCTTATTCTGATCCATGGTTGGGTTAATGAAGCAGGGATCCCCGCTTCTGATCCCTGCCTCATTAATCCATCCATGGCAGGCAAAGGTCAGAAAGGTAGAAACAGAGCAACTTCACATTACTCTTCTATGTACACACACACACAGACACACAGACACACACAGACACACACACACAACACCTGTGTTCTAAAACTCCTCTGCTGGTCTAAAGCAACACTTCAGTGCCCCATTCACGTCAGTCCTCTTTCAATACCTGACTTCATTTACTTAAAGTCCTTTCGACATGACTTCAGCTAGTTTAAAGTCCTTATTTTTACTAATATTTTAATTACTGTAATTGTTCAGTGTGTTATCTCATTCACGTAATATGCTGATACTTCATTTCGCTTTTTTTGTCCTCAGAAGTGTAACCTCATCGATGAGAATTTCAAATGTGGAGCAGAGTGGCAGAATAAGGGTCTTGAGAGCAGGGACCTCAATCTGCAATTCAGTATATGGAAACACAATTTACCATTCATTCCCAAGCAAAGTCAAGCCTCCAAATATTTTTGATGTGTTTTGTATTATTTATTTTTAAGCATTGTAATATTACTATAGATGAACCGCTTTTGTCAAAGATGAGTTTTCAACTGAAACCAAAAATAAAACAAAAACAAAACAAAATACAAAAAAAAAAAACCAGGACTGTGGTTTGATTTATCAGTTCCCTTGAAGTCAAAAGTTTTCCATTGTGACCTCAATCTGCAATTCAGTATATGGAAACACAATTTACCATTCATTCCCAAGCAAAGTCAGGCCTCCAAATATTTTTGATGTGTTTTGTATTATTTATTTTTAAGCATTGTAATATTACTATAGATGAACCGTTTTTGTCAAAGATGAGTTTTCAACTGAAACCAAAAATAAAACAAAAACAAAACAAAATACAAAAAAAAAAAAAACCAGGACTGTGGTTTGATTTATCAGTTCCCTTGAAGTCAAAAGTTTTCCATTGATTAAATTTGCATTTTATTCATAGAGCTGCTTTCACTGAACCACCAAAATTGCTAAAATATAAACCCTTACTGAAGAATATAAACATGAAAACTACTCCATCCAGATTTTGTGCAATTCTAGTTGAGAGTAGTGATTTATAAATGACCCTATACTTACTTCATCTTTTGTTTTTCAGTTTTTGTGTAGGACAAAGCTGAGCTAGCAGAATGCTGCCTAATTTTGATTGCTTTTTTGGCCCCACGTAAAACTGCTTTTGTTAAATAGGAGTTTCAACTTTTGCTTTCAGCTTTTATTTCAAAATGATACAAATCTGTGACAGAATGTGCAATAGGGATTGTTACTACACTTCCAAAACTAACAGGACCTCCTTTATTTGGAAGTTATCCTAAATTTTCAGAACATGCTTGTTCAGAACCATTTCAGACAATTAGTTACATCAATCATTGTCTTTGACTTTTTTCATCTTAGTTCACTGACACAGAAGTAAAAATCCAGGAATGGCATGTTCAATTCAAGAACTCCAGGCTCAAATCACAAATAACTGAACACACACACATGCACGCACATACACACACACACACATGCACGCACACACACACACACACACACACACACATTTTTAACCCTTCCTTTAATTCTCTCTGAACTGCCAATCCTGGTAGATTCTTTCATTCCTTTGTGTACAGGGGTAGTTGAATTGTTTTCACGCCACAGTATCCCTCCCATGCATCTCCTTGTGGCAGAGGTTATCACTGCCCCACCCATATCCCTTGGGATATTTGGTAAACTCTGGGCAATTGGTATCTGCATCTCTGTAACTATAGGCTTTTTTTTTTTTTTTTTTCCTCCTGGAATTTCTGACAGCCTTGCTTCTCTCACTCATGGCAGTCCAGAAGTGCTGAGTAATTATCACCAG